GAAATCAAAAGAGCCCCACCAACAACAACTGAAATCAAGAAAGTCACCCCAACAGCTGAAATCAGAGTTAAAACACCAACTTATGAGTTCCAAACATCAAGAACTGCAGCAGGAAGGCCTAAAACACCAGCGCACCATGTAAACCGCGCTGCAACACCAGTATTTGAGATCTCAAGACCCAATCCTCTCTTATTTGCAGTGTCACCAGTCACAGTAGAGTCAGAGTGGTCGAGGGCACCTCAAACAGTGGTAAGCAGTTCATCTGCTTCCCAAAGTGTGAAGACTACAGTGCCTCTTGAACAAACATTAAATAGGGACATCCACTCAGACATGATGCCTTCAGCAAAACCAATACAACCAAGTATTAGAAAGTCAAAGTCGGAACCCATGCTGTCAAGCAGAAAGAGTTCAACTGGGTCTGAAGAGCCCAAAACTTCAATAACACCAGCAGTGACTGGGTATCAGAGGGCTAAGACTCCAACATATGAGGCATCCCGACTTATTACCACATCACCTGGCTACAAAAGACCAAAGACACCCACCTATGGGACATCACCTTTAAGTGGGTCACCTATAGGCTTTCAGAGACCTAAAACACCAACTCAAGTGTCTCAAAAGTCAAAGTCTGGTTATCGTGGACTCACACCGGCTGAATACGCTGCTTATGGAGGAATCAGAACTTACTCTCCAGCATTTGATATTTCAGTTTCAACTACGCTGACTAAAGAGGATGATAAAGCTAAAAGAGAGATCTCTGAAGAATCAAAAGCCCCCAGCCAAGAACCCTCTGAGCCATCTACAGTCAAAGAAACACCAAAAAATGTTGCTCACTACCACCAGAGAGATGAGAAGGTTGCTGCCACACCTCCAGTCCCTTTTATTGTTGTTACACAAGCATCTGACTCACCTGGAGCGATGTTAACACAAGAGAAGAGCACTGTATCTGGTCTGGTTGCAGCAAAAGGAGATACAACAATCATTCAAGAAATGCCAAAAACTATACTTTCAACAGCAGAGAATGAGAAAGTGGAAACACTTATTCAAGAAACTAAACCAAAGACTCCTGAAACCAAACATCCTTTGCCTAAAGGTGGAGACCAAGATCCCCTGAAGGCAGTAAAGAAGCTTCTAGGTAAAGAAAAAGTCCCGACTGCTGAGCAGAAATCTATACCTGAGAAAAATGCTGATGTCGCAGAAATAAAGGAACAAGGAAAACCTGTAAATGTCACTAATATCACACCTAAAGGCTCAAAGCCAAGTACTGCAGCATTTCCTCTGCTTAAGGTTTCTGCTGCTGTAGCAGACAAAGAACAGGACATTAAAACAGAATCACCTTCAGGAGATCAATTGGCACCTGAGAAAAAGGACAGTGATGAGAGCCTACCAGTAGGCGAGTCTCTTCTTAAAGCCATATTAAAGCCGAAGGGATTGAAATCTAAAGCGAGCGGTTGGTCAAGGCTCAAGACACACATGGTGGTGGAGCAGGCGGAGCCCAAATTCCCAGATACAGGCTCTGAGAAGGTGGTCACGGGGCAGGACCAGAAGGAGACAAAAACAGTGGAGAAAGCTGGAGACGAGCCCAGCACCCAAAATGAAAACCAAACCAAAGACTCTCCCAAGGCGACACAAATGTGGGACGCTGTCCTCTTCCAAATGTTTTCTTCCAAGGAGAACATCATGCACCAGATTGAGTTAAATAAAAGTGAGGAGGAGAAGAAAGAAGAGGGAAAAGATGAGCTGAAAGAAATACCGTCATTCGCGTACAGGTTGCCTGTGCTGCTTTTCAGTCCAAAATTTGATGCTAAAAAGCTCAAAGAGGCAGCATCGAGGCCGGTCACAAAAATTTCCACTGTATTTGAAATGGGCCTGATTGGGCGAAAAGGTAAAGATGAGGAACCAAAAGACTTTAATAGAACAGCAAGGGGGTTCACCACTTCTTAAGCTACACCCAAGATGAAGTGCCAAGACAAAAGTGTAAAAAACAAAACAAAAAAACAAAAAACCAAAACAGGATTCTATGTTTAATGTACAGATGCAGAAAATCTTAGCCACAGAAACAATGTAAAAGTCTGGAGTCTTAGTCCCTTGTTGCTGCAGTGCTGAAGAAAACTTCGGTCAGAACTTTATACTTGACAAATGCTTTGTGTGACTGGCTGTCAGGGTGTTAGCATACATGTCTGTATTTGTGGATTAGCTTGAAAGAGAGCTCTCTTTGTCTTAAAGTCATTGAGACATCACACCAAGTGTTGTAAGAGCTTCTCATTTGTTCTTTTCTTCAAAGTGTTCACAATAAACAGACACTGTTAGATTATGAATTAGCGAGATTCTAAAAGTGCCCTGTGGAGTTTTCTATTAAGAAACATACATAGGGGAGACCGGGGATAGTTGTAACATTTTTGACATTTCTGTCTGTAAATTGGAGCTCTTTTAAGGTAGTGGATTCAAAATGTAATGCAAAGTATTTACATGTCTCGGCTATTAAATAGTGCAACTATTTTCTCTGCAGCACAATTACCCATTGCATGGTATGGTCTCAAACACAAAGAGTGAAATGTTACAATTAACCCCATAGTCTGGGTTAGTTGTAACATATCCTGGGGTAAAATGTAACACAATGAAATAAGGGTACTAACAAAACATTAACATGTAATCTTTGTTTATTCAACACATGAATGCACTTAGAGCCATTTATGTAGTTGTGTGTGTGTGTGTGACAGAATGCAGAAATCTAGCTTTTGAACATATTCCAACCCCCCAAAAAAGACAAGTTATGGAATTTTCTGCAACTGAATATTTCATTAATTTTGGTTGGTCTTCCTTGAGTTTGGCCTCATTGGCTCAGTGGGCATTATAACCTACAACTCTTGCACCAATTTTGAACATAACAATGAAGCTGAAAAAATGTAGTTGTTCACCAGCATCGCAATTCCATTACTTTTTATCATGGCTTACCTTGGTGTGGTTTGCAAAGTGCTTCAGAAAGATGAGGAAATCTGTTTCTTGCACCCATCCTGACTTATTTCCACTACCAGTACTTCCTACTGGTCCATCTCTGACACAGAGGTCTGCATAATGTATGTGTGGGAACACAAACAGTGGAGGAATTGTGTTGCCAATGGCATTAACCGCATATACAAAAGCGACCAGTGAACCTCTCTCTGCTGATGTCGTTGCCCCAACTTGTTTAATATAAGTTAAAGTAATAGTGTGGTAAGTTGTAACATCTGCATTATTGTTACAACTAACCCAGACTGTTGCTGTTACAACTGACCCAGACTCCTATAGCCATGAACTAGCTAACATTACAGCCAATGGCTAAAACATTAGCACTAAAGACTTACACAGAATATATCCCCATAGACATACAAATAACATAATTTAAGTTTGATGAGTTTAACTGCAAAGCAGATAATGCTATTAGAAATTGAAATAAAGTAGAAAAACTTACTTTTTGGCATACAAATTACTTCATTTCGTGTTAAATTGTTTGTGTTTGACAAAATGTGCTGATTTTTCACATGTGATAGCAGAACTGAGTTGGGCGTGCACAGGATGAGTCACATCATTTGAAACTTAGCTCTGATTGGAGAAATTGGAAGTGTTACAACTGACCCACGTTACAACTATCCCCGGTCTCCCCTACTGTTAGGTGTTTAAAAGGTCAGGGTGTTGAGTGTAATTTTCATTTGCAAAGCATTTTGAAAATATGGTTCTTATATTTCTGGTTCTTAGCTTTCATCTTTTCTGCTTTGTTGGTGCATTGCTACAAATTTAGGCTTTGGCTTCACTCTACCAACTGTATTGAAAAGGACAAAACCTAAGAGAGATTAAAATTGAGATATTCTAACTGCATGAAACAGGTCTTATAGTGTATGTAAAAACCACAACATACTGCTAATAGTGATCAGAAAACTCCATAGGGTACTTTTATTACAGAAATGTGGATGCTTAGAAAAATAAATTAACTTTTGGTGAATAAAAATATGTTTTTATGGCTAATAAATAAAATGTAAGTGATTTTATGATACATAATTTGTTCAATTATTATTCAAATATGCAGTTTTATTCAAACTGGTGCTACTTACCTTAGGGTAAGACTTCTCGTTATGATTTTGTTTTTCAGGCTGTAGATGGTTGTGTTTTGCGAATAAACCCTCTTAGAATCACACTGCATGAACATTTTTGAGATAATTTAAAATCACTATGATCTAACAAAAAAAAGGGCAAATTGGAGGGAGTTTATTTAAATCTGACTAATATTATAATTTTCATGTTTACAGGTTACATATTGAGCCGCAGTACATTTTTACACATGCTTACTGGTAGCTGTATACGGTGGTAAATGCTGCATAAATAAAGCACTGGGCTTTGCTATGAAAAATATAATTCCCATATAAAGTTCAAATTACTATAAAATTATTTTAGTGATTTTCAGCTCAACATGTTAAATTTTACTGTGACTTAAAGACGGTTGATGAGCTAAAAGCGTGTGAAAGTTGTTTGAAGAACGATGAAGAGCAGCCTCCACTGTGATGGAGGTCAGTGGGATAGTGATCTGTGAGGTCAAAGGTAAAGATGCACAGAAGGGATTTGACTGTAATGCATGGTAGGCACTCCAAACTTTATTTTAAAAGCTTTGTTTGTTTTTTGTCCAGCCCGAGTCAGGAGAAGTCTTTCACTGGTGATCTTTTTAACGTGTGTGTTGGAGCTACTGATTATTCTAGGTACAGCGTATAAAAGTCATCTTTAGTTGCTGACACTGTCAAAATAAATCTTAAGCAGAGTTACCCTCATGTTCAGTTTATTTACAGTAACACAGGAAATAAAAACTGCTCTGATTTTTTACTTTCCTATAGTTGGAAAATGTAAAAGAAATCTTTCTCTACCAAATTCAGTTCTTTTCATTTTCATATCTCTATCTAGGTTACTCTGTTTGAACATAGCTTAGCATTTCATAATAAAACCAAATTGTGACTTCTGTCTCTGTTGCTGTATTTTCGTTATCACTGCTGTTTTATTTAAAGTGAAGCACTTTGAACTGTTTTCTTTTTCTTACGTGAAGCTTGCTGTACTGCTGCCCTGCACAAAAGGTAATGAAAAATAAACAGTCTGACTTAAATGTTTCTCAACATGTACATTTTTCTTGCCCATAGGTTCAATTCAGCGTGGAACATCAGGGGCAGAGATAGCTCAGTAGGTAGAGTGGTGGCCCCATGAAGGTTGGGGGTTCGATTCCCCTGAGGTACCCCTGAGCAAGGTACCGTCCCTACACACTGCTCCCCGGGCACCCAGTGGCTGCCCACTGCTTCACTGAGTGAATGGGTTAAATGCAGAGAGGAATTTCCCCACGGGATCAATAAAGTATACATTATTATTACATCAGTATATTTTTAAGTCATGCAATGAATTGAATGAAGAAAAGAGACAAGCTGAAACAGCTTCCTGCTGATCACAAGCTGAAAGACACTTCTGAACATCACAACAGATCAGCAGTTTACCCTTTACCCTGATTCACACGCTTACATACATCAGCCAGCTCGCCAGATGGTTCAGGCATCATAGTGGAATCAATGCTTAGAGTTTAATGATGCTTTGATGTAGAATAAACTTTAAACTGCCAGGGCTGCACACTGCACATATATTAAATACAAAAATGCCACTAATTTTGTTCTGCCAGCAAATTCTCTAATGAAAGTCACTGAACCAAGCAATCCAATCTGAAAACAGGCTCCTGTGCGCTGTAGTCAAGATGGTGACCACTGAGAGTAAGAACAGAGTGCTTACCATCTTGCTACTCAGAGGACTTTGTGTCATCATATCTGTAGGAACGGTGGTACACAGTTTAAGAGACAGCTAGCTCTTAGTCTTTTACTTCCTTGTCTGTGATCTTACCCGACTTTCCATTGGTGAACGTCCCTTCGTTCTCGTCGTCCACAGGAATCTTCTCATATTTGCCGTGTCCAGTGACGACAAATTTGTACTTTTTATTAGCCGCTGAGCTCTGAGGAGATAAGCAAGAGCTCATTTTGAATATTTTTTACAGATTAGAAATCTGAAGATGAAAATCCAGGTCAAGATTTTCATATCACCATCACTGATGACATTTTTAAAAAATGATTCCTCCACCAGGTGAGAGTGGTGGAGGCCTCTGAAGTGTTCTTCCCTTATAAAAAGCACACTAGATGAGGAATGATGTGCCAGTTTCTCTAAAATGAGAAAACTGACTAACTCAGGCATCAGATAACTGTACCGTGAAGTTGTGAAAGGGACTTTTTTAAATTAAATATCCTTTTCCAGTGTTATATAGACCAAACAATGAACACTTCTGATGTACACAATAACAAAAGAAGCGAGGTAAATGCAAAGAAATTATTCTTAATTGAGCTTTACTTTACATTTAAGACTCTTCTGTGCTTGTATTCTATGTTTATACCTTCATGTTTTGTCCGGGCCTCCCCAACGAGTCTCCGATGACCTCCCACATGTTCTTCTTCTGCATCACATCTCCGGGTCTCAGATCCTGTTTTGTTTTTTAAAAAACATGGCTCAGGAGTCTTCCATGAAATCTGGTGCATAGACTGAATAAATCTAGCTGTTCTTGATTTGCATTCCACTTACATAAAAAAGGAAAAGACATACTTTTATTGTTTTTTTTCTTAGTCGTTTCTAAATATTGAATTGTTTATGTAATTTCCTGATTTATTTTACATTTTTAGGATAAAGGAAATGGAGAAATTCTGTTATATAGAGTTATCTCTGACGTTGCCACTAGAGGGAAACCTCACATCGCAAACTGCACCTGAACGCATCACTGTGAGCTCAGCTATTACACAGGAGAGGCGAGTTTAGTGCAGCTGCTCTCTTCATTAAAACCGCGCACACACACAGAGATTTCCTTTGAATACATAAAAAACAGCTTAAAGGACAATCACGCTGCCTGTGAATGCCAAACAAAACTGCAGAAGCACCATTAACATCTGAAACCACTCTTGTTGGAGTGAATGTGACTTACAGCGGGTCTGCTGCTCAGCTGTCTGCTGCCGTCTGAGGGGCCTTTCACCCACTGATTGATCAGATTGGCCACGCCCACCTTCAGACCCTCAGTGTCCTGATTGATGAAGCACAAACAGGATGAAATGTTTCACTTTCATCTTCAGTTAAACTCAGATGTTTAGTTGAGTATTTAACTTTGTTTATTCAGTTGTTCCGCACTTTCATTAAAGCAAACTAGGTTCATTTAGCTGGATAACAGCGTCCTGCTCTGTGGAGGCAAAACATGCCTCAAAGGGAGAGGCATAATAAACCTTCAATACAGCAATATATTTAAATAATAATGATGATGATAAGAAAATATGAAGAAAAGATAGATGAAAAATTAAATAAAATACAAAAATTTTAAATTATGGCCTGTTTACATTTTTTAAAGTATTATTTTTAATAGATTACATTTTTTATGTAATGTATCTTTAAAAATACATTAATTTTCTTTCATTTATGAAATTGTTAATGTATTAGACTTTTTAAATATAAAATTAAAGTAAAAAATATATATTTTTAATTTCCTTGGGTGGATAAAATTAAATGTGATTATTATACATATTAAAAATATAGTATAAAAAATTAAAAATGACAATTCAATTCACTTTAGCAGTAATTTTGCTTCTTTTTAAGATATAAAATGTTTAATTGGTGTAATTAAATTGCAGTCAGTGCTGGACCTGCAGAATAAATTCGATGAAAACTCCTTTGTAATATCCATAATATGTGTTTGATAAATAAATATATCTCCCTTAATTTGGTTCTTTGCTTTTCTCTTCATGACCTGCTGAGAAAAATCAAAGCTTGGACAAATTATTTTTAGCCCATAATAACTGCTCTCTGTTTCACTAACAAGCGCCTGTTTGACCGTTCACATCAAAGAATTCCCGTAAAACAGAACATATGAAACAGGTGAGGATGGATCTGTTTGCCAGACTTTAAATAAACACGTGAGGTTTTAGCCGTTAGGTCAGACAAACATGACGATCAAAGAGGCTTTAAATGGGTAAAAATTTCAATAATCCTCCACAAGCACATGCAGAAAAGCAGCATGATCGGGTGAAGCAAAAGGGATTTGGTTCTAAAGTGCAGTGTTTTAATGTGATGCTAGCAACTTTATGGTCATCCTTAAACCCCCTAAAAAGCTTGTGATTACCTATCAAAATGACCAAGAGAAGTTCCTTTTAGGTCAAACTGGCTCTGCTTTAACTACATACCACAGATCGTAGCTTTACATGCATTTACATGAATGTAAAACAAAGCAGAAATCTAAAGGTACCCCGTTAGATTGTTTCCTCTCACCTTGCAGGTGGCTCCCTTGCTGGGACTCTGGCTCCAGGCCTCTCCAGCCTCAAACAGGTTCTTCTTGGAAGCGACAACCTCAGGTGATTGGGGCAGGTCATTCAGTGATGCCTTCACTGCCCGAGCCTCCTGGGAGTTCTGCACAAAGACAAACCTCACAGTTAGCAACAAGTGGCAGCATCCAAGGCTGAAAGATGAACATCATCTTATTGACATCTTAGCTTATTATCATGTCCTGATATTTAAAACCTTAGAATTTATTTCAGAGAGGGTGTATTTGTTAAAAACGTTTGCTAGAATAAGCTGGAATGCTATGTTTCTTTGCAATATACATCTAACCGCATTCAAATTGTGGTTTATATAAATGACATAGTTTAGGCAGATTTATGTGAATCACAGGTGTAATCTCAATCTAAAAGATTTATGGTGAGAATATTCTCTCTCCTGCAAACCTTTAATTTATGTTCTTTTGTTAAACCTGTTCTTGTGCTGCAGTCTATAAATCTGCATGGGAACCACCTGAGGTGAAAAGGAAAACGAGGAATGGAAAGATAAAAATAAAAAGCTGGGATCACCACGTTTTCCTGTCATGCATCCGTTTTACACGCACAATTGAAAATATGTGCGGGTGATGTAATCGCCCAGGTGCTGCCGAGGTTTGTGGCCACTGCACAAAAAGGGTCAGAGCAGCTGCTGCTGCCCCCAGCTGAGTCCAAACAATGTGAGTGCAAAGTTTCAAACCTGCAGCAGAGCAACCATCACGCGCTTCTCGCTGCGGAAAACACCCGAGGGTTTGCAGAAAATTCAAATCAGAGGAAGGAAGCAACTAGTGCACAAACATTATCCTGACGAGTCAATGCTTTCCGCATATTGTACCGAAATTATCTCAATGACTTTTTATTTTTGTGCCATCCTCACGCTTAACCAACAGAAAGGATAATCGTCAGTCTGTTGTGAGGCCGTGCCTGTAATGAACACTGCAGCGAGGCAGATATGAATGAGACCAACAGGCTGTGATAGATATCTGTGGGCAGGAGGGGGGGTTGTGGTTCGGGGGCTGATGAAAACATTCATTAGCTTCATCAATGCTCCCTCTGTCTGCATGTGTCTTTGTACAAGTCATGACTGAATATGGTTACGTCATGTCTCCCAGAAACATGAGTGGAGGTTTCATGTGAACACGAGGAGAGTCTGTGGGGTCTTAACAAGCAAGTGAAAAAAGACGGTAAACCTTGAAAATCAATAAAATATTAATGCTAAGTGACCTGCCAGTGAATACTGGTATCATTAAGCTGTTTGAGGAGCGGCTGGTGACAGTGAGGGATGGACCTGGAGAGCTGAGAAATTATTTGAGGTTACAAGTAGAGTCATGGACGTGTGTGTGTGTGTGTGTGTGTGTGTGTGTGTGTGTGTGTGTGTTGACCTCCACAGCGTGGGCGTACTGCTCCAGCTTGTCGTCGATCTTGGATGTCAGGAGGAGAGGCTGCGTCTTCTTGAAGCTGTTACTGAGTCACACAAAGCAGCAGGAAATTAAAACCAGAGACACGGAGTCTGCGTCACATTAATTTTAATAGATTGCTCCCTTAAATTTAAAATAAACATTTTCTATGTTAGAGAGCATTACTACCTTAAACTAATTAAAATGTTTCAACTCTAAACTTTATTTTTATGATCCTGTCATTCATGTATCGTCTGCTGCTGATTATCCGGGTCACAGGGGGGCACAGTCTCCATGGCCAACTCTTCCAGCTCGTCTGGGCCACACCAAGATTTTCCCAAGCAATAGGAGAGATATAATCTGCGGGTTTAACTGGAGATCTCCAGATCTCTCATTTGAACAGATCTTACCTAGGAGGAGTTTCCTCAATTGTGAACAAGTCCCTGAAAAACTTGAACTCTTTTATTTGATTAGGAAGGGCAGAAACTCCTTCCCATTCCGGAGTCGCCATGCCATTGTTTCCGGACTCGGACCACGTCCTAACACTTGGTGGTGCTAATTTTTTATGTATTTTTAGATCCAAGCGCTCCCGGGCATCAATATAATCAATATATTGAAAAATGGGACATTGGGGGTGTCAATAATGCAGTTAATATGATTTAAAAAAAACCAAACAAACAAAAAAAACGTGACAACTCTTCCTGTACTCTCTCAGCGCACACATTTGTACGTTGATTTGAATAAATTGGCCAAAAAAGCACACTTAAACCAAAGTTATGGTCTGTGAAAATCTATTATTGTGACAGCTCTAGTCCAGTCTGAGAATGTATGGCAGCAGGATTTCATTAAGCTGAAATATGACCTTTATATTTAAACCTTAAAATTTGATTGCTTTATATTGTCAGTTCAAAACGTGTGGCTCTCAGGTTTGGCCTCATGGTTCACCTGATGATTTTAGAACCTCCCAGGCATTTGCAAAATAAAGTTTGTGTCTGTCTGTGTCTACATTTTTACAACTTCCCAGTTTTCCATGTTCACACTATAATCAAGATCAAAAACGTTGGGTCAGACCAACTCACGTTGGCTCCAGAAACTGAGTCAAAGCTGGATTTGCGGTTGAATAAATTAAAGTCTGTCTGAAATGTTTTTGTCTTGTGGTCTTTGCAGATCCAGCAGATCCTCCTCCCTATTTTTTGGCTTTCCCCGGCTTCAGATAAGAGCTCTGACATTATTCTTTCATGGCAGGAGGGAAAAACTCATTTATCATCTGAATCTTTGACTTTGACATGTCTGAGGCGCCATCATGGGGCAACACCCGCTTTTAAAAGGAGGTTTGACCTGATGATGTCATGCAGCTGAGCAAACATCAGAGGCTGCTGCTGAGGTTGTCATAGCTGGAAGCCGTCACTTAGTTTTAACTTCTGCAATAAAGTTTAAGGAGGGAAAGTTTCTACCTGTCAATAAGTCTAGATGTTAAATTCAAACTTTCAGCTATGTAGTAAACCACATGTCTGTAGCACTAAAACCACTACACAAACGTAGTAATAAATAAGTAGAAATCCTTTACAGAGGTTTTTATGAACTTATACACCTCTGGCCATGACACAAGATGTACCAGACTTAATTTATGAGGATGATCAAAAAAAATGTATGGCTACCTCCAGGAATCCTCCCTCCTGACAATACTGCAGTCATCACACATGAGCAAAGCTCCTGCTTAGAAAAAGCCCCTCTGGCATTCATCCATCCAGACCAGACATGTTTCATTAAAGGCAGACACTTATCAGCACGGTTGGATATGAGCAGGGCTGCACATAAGTGGTCCGCATATGCGCATTCGCTGTCAAAATAAAAGACGCGCACCAGATAAGAAGTTGCAATGCGCGTTTGTGTCCATAAGATTTTCTGGAGGAGGACAGACATTTGTTAAGAACTCTTAAAGATGTTGAAGAAGCTCCTTTAAGCAATTACTTTGGTGTTCCTCCACCTCCGAAGAAATGTCAGAAGGAGTCCGAACCACAAAAGAAGCGCGTATTCTCACGTAAAATGGGTTAAATTCACAAAACTTCACTCTTCATAATTGGTGCCAGGCAAGGATGTCCTCTCTCTCCATTTCTCTATGCACTATTCATAAAACTGCTATGTGCAATAATAAAGATAGTAAACTTCTAATACCAAACATAATATTCTCCTTTATGCAGATGATGTGCTCTTATTTCATCGGGACTCCCATTCTTTGCTGCCACAACTGTTTAAGTCCAGCTGCTCTGTAAACTGGTCAAAATCCATCATTTTACTTCTTTGTATGAATGAGAGGGTGTGGAAGACCTTTCACCTCCTCCAATTGCTTTAATCGCAGACTAAATTCAAATGAGCACCCACACACTCAGTTACACCTCTCATTTTCTGTACCACCTCTGCCCAGCCTGTAAGTTTCTTGCTTCATGTAATTAACTATGTATTTTAACTTCAGCAATTTACAGTTCACGAGTACTCTGCAGGCATTAACACTGTGGGAGTCAAAGGTTGAGCTGCCTGATGCCATCACACCTCTTCTGAACACACAGTTGTCTGTAAATTAAAGCATCCTCATAGAAACGTTCCTCCTGCTCAGAGCTGATAATATCCTGCTGCAGACTGCCTGGAGCCACCATACCTCACTAACCACGAGAGAAAACACAGCCGCCTGCATCTGGACAGAGTTAAGAGGAGCCATAAATCACAGCTTAGGAAAGGCGATGCACTGAGAGAGGTGGAGAGGTCACCTCCAACCCTTTTCATCAGGGTTTACGTTCAGACGGTGGAGAGTTAACCAGCAGCCAGAAAACTGAAAAAAGAAGCGGGTCACTTACGTCAAAAGGATTAGCTACTTCTTCAAGTTTATCAGTGGAAATACTTGCTTAGCTTTAGCATAGCTAGTCAGAAAAATAACTCCGTTAAAATATGTAGACACGTATTTTATCTGATAACATCTGAATTTGACTCTCTGTGGATAAAGTTGAATATCACATGCTCCTCCACTATTCAGATGCTTGGATAAAAAATTCTGCATTTTTCTTTGATCTGGAAGATTCTGAACAACATTCAAACTGAAGCTACACTCAACATTAGCTCATTTGTACATAAAGGCCACAGTTCTTTGACTTGTATCCTTCCATTAAGGCAGTGCTCTAGAGTGCGACCAAATTTTTCAGTGGTGCGACTAAAAATAAATATTTGGTCGCACAGGTGCGACCAACTGTTCCGGTAACAAAAAAAAAAATCTCTGCAACTCTCCGTGTGGTCAACAACAGACACACATTTTGCCCCTATCGTGGACTAAACCAATCAGAGATAGTCAGGGGCGGGACCTCTCTGATTGGCCGTGGTCCAGTTGAAAGTGCAGGTGGAAGAGAGAGGTGAGTAGCTTGAATAAAGCGATATCAATTCATTAACGGATTCCACACAAAGACCTAAACACGGAGCGGACCCGACGCATCAGAATCAGCTTCGTCTTTCTCGGCTTTCTCACCCGACGGCCCGAACACGGACACGCTGTCGGAGCTTATCGATTCTTCGGGTCCGCGCTGTGTTTATGTCTTTTTGCGCTGATTCTGAGCTGCAGGTTTTGTCTCTCTCCAACCAAAATTCGCCGAGCCAGCAGCAAAAGACGCAGCAAACTGCGCTTCACATTTGATCAATGTCGTCATGAATTCCCTCTGACTTTTGCTGTTTTGCTTCCACCACGATAAAAATCACACTTCCTGCACAGCTCTCTCTCTCTCTGTGTACTTCAGGAACAGTTTCCCGTCTCAAATCTGTTTTCTGCATTATTCATTCGCTTATTACCCACCAGTCTAGCGTTTACAGCGCTTTTTCTTTTTTCACTTAAATGACCTCGGACAAGAAAGCCTAATTTCTGCTGTTCAATACTGAAGAAATTTAAATTTCTTAAAATTATGCAAAAATGCAGAATATTTTTAAAGTTATCTGCTATAAAAAGCCAGACCAGGAAATTCTCCTTCATGTTTTCCTGTGTTTTATTCTCAGTTACTTTCACACAAAGGCATCTGCTGTGATGTTCACAATTCTGATGAAGTCTCATGTGTATCAGTACTGATAAATGATCAGAATTATAATATTTCTGACTGTCTGAGGCTAAATTGAATCAAATCAGGACTTTGAGAACCGGAATTGAATGGATTATAGAAATCAGTGATGATACCCAGCCCTAGTGAGCAGCCTAGGCCTGAGAGAAGTGGATGTAGCTGTGGGTAATAAGAAAAGATGAAAAGAACTATTGATAACTTTTTTGTTAAGTTAAGGCCTGATCTGTCTGAAATTCATAGCCAGTGCTCTGACACGGTGCCATCAATATTTGAATGCTGAAAAAGCACAGTGTATCCAGGAAACACATTATATGCTGCAATAAATGCACTGCCCAAGTGTCCCCTCTCCCCACTGCCTTTCAGCAACAGACAGCAGCAAACAGGTCGTCAGAGGAGGCCAAGATGATGATTAAGTTTAACATTTTCTACAATATTGACAAAGCACTTTAAGCACAAGTTTGTTAGTTAATAATTTAGAAATTAATATTGTCTGTGTGGACTTCCCCCCCCAAAGAAAGTGCACATGTAAAACTGCGGTGTTAAGCGATGCGGTTGAAAAATTTGAGTGCGCCTAACTTTTGTGCCGGTACGCCTAAATTTTTAAAGTTAGGCGTACCGGTGCACCCATGTCAAAAAGTTAGTCTAGAGCCCTGCATTAAGGTAGCATTCAGATAACACTCAGTTGACCTGATTGACTCAGTAGAAACTTTGAAATCAAGCTGCGCTCTTTGTCTACCTGTCAGACTGTGTCTCAGGCTTCTAGCAGGACATTGCTGACTATGCAGCACTGTGATAACATGAAAATCAGAGTGTGTTGGGAATGCCAAAAACAACTAAGGTACAAAGGATTATATAAAGATGCAACCATCGCAGATGTAAACTTCCCTAAAGTGCAATCCCTTGGGTGAACAGGCTAAAATGTGTAGATTGGTGTAACTGTGCCATTTTTTGTTTCTACCCACAAAAAACAAACAAAAAGGAGCCAAAGAACTGACATTGCAGAGTCCAGAGTGTTATATCACACCCACTACTTCCATCCTTTATATACAGTTTTATAGGAGGCGGAAAAAAATAAATTAATAAAAAATAAAATAAATAAATAAATAAATAAATAAATAAATAAATAAATAAATAAATAAATAGGCTGCCTGCATGCTGTCAGGATAATGAGCCCAAACACCATTTATTAGGTTGAATTATTTAAGAGATTTTAATAGTTTTAATATTTCTATTTGGTGAAATAATGCATATGTAAATCTGATCAGGATACTGATAAAGATCCTCACCTTTTCTTCAGTGAGCGGTTCAGGGACTCTGTTCTCTCTGTGATCTGAAACAGAAGAAGAAGTATGACGCCTTTTGTTTTTCCTTTCGGATGAACACGTTTCTCTCTGTGTCACTGCTGCAGTTCATGAATGTGTTAATTAAAGCTCAGCTCTGGGTTTGGCCTTGGACCTCCCAGTCCCAGACAAACAGCGCTGAGGTGGCTGGCGTTCATCAAACCGCACGAGTCGTCAGAGAGTCAGAGGATGATGGAAAAATGTGGCTTTTTAGAACATAAATTTATAGAGTGTTACATTACCTTAAGGACATACACCTACAATAAAATTGACAGAGTCACTGGGTTAAAGATGAAGAGCAACAACTGAGAAAATGTGTTATACTCTGAAGAAAAATTGAATTCAAGGGCAAAATCATCCCTCTGCATTACTCTGTATTGATTTTCAGTCCATGTTCTTTTTATTTATCCCCAAACTTTTCCATCAAAATGCCCACACAGAGTAAAAGATCTGCTGTGGGAGGTGACGATTTTCCTTTAGTGTACAGGCTCAAAGGGCCTGCATTATTCAGCATTCTTACTGGTAATGCTTGTTTCCCCAGTCTAAGTAAATGAAACTGGCCCTAGATGGACACCAGCACTGGTACCATCTGTCGACAGAGCTCATCCAGCTGACCTGGACAATTTTGCTGTTTTTTTAATCTGCACTCAGGGGTCCGATTTTTAGGACAGGAGCAGTGTATCTCTGACCTCAGAGGTCAAACATCAAAGTACACACACACACACACACACACACACACACACACACACACACACACACACACACACACACACACACACCTTTTGTTACTGTTTTATATATAGTTATAGTGTTGTGTGTGTGAAAGCCTTTTGTTTGAAATTAAATTAAAAAATGACACTGCATAATTTCTTCTGGTAAAGAGCCATAAAATGTGCTTCCAACATGCAGCAAAATGCATCAAACACTGGACATAAATGACAATATTTAATGTAGAGGTGAAGCCTGTCTAATGTGAAGCATGGCTAGATTTGAGTTCTGTGGGGAAAAGTCACAATGTCAGATTTAACAACTTAAAATAACACACAGGATGTTAATCTTAGTGTTGTACTTACTTGGTGCCATTAACACAACTAACTGAGAAAATAAACCTGAGGATTTCACTTAATCTCATAAGTTTTTACCCATTGTTGTAAATGTCTCTTTTGCTATTTGGATTCATTTTTTTCTGTGTCCTTGGACATTTGGTTTGTTTGAATCTGTTCATGTTCACATAAATTCAGGAATAGAAGAAGCAAAAGACATGCCAACATGCACACAGTCATGCACGTGGACGAGCCACTCATCAAAAATTCAAATACAGAACCCCAAAGTCTCAAACATGGTTTGGTTTCTTAATCTTTATGAACCAGATTTTTTTTTAAATAAGAAAAGAAATGTCTTCCTGGACTGAGAGGGCTCCATAAACGACCGCAACGTGCTGAAAAAACACACATAGGCATTTACAGTTCACACAGATCATCAAGCTCAGACAGTGAAACATTTCGAGTGGCAGTGAGATCGAGGACAACACCGCATGCTTTTCCTGGTGCAGTCAGGCTGAAGTGGCTTTGCAATCACACACACACACAGAGGTACACACACATGCAACTTACAAGCTGAGACTGAACCCATCTGCTGGGAAGATAACACACAGCGATTAGTCACTGAGTTACTTGTTTTTTTAACCCAACAGGTCAAACAGTAGGCTGCATTTTGTTAAATCAACATTACAGTAATGGGCTAGACGGAAGGACGGATCACCCGAGACAATTAAACTTTTCTTTTTCAAATTCCTCTTTATCTGCTCACATGATAGCTCTTGCTGACCTGAACAGGTAAGATTAAATTCTGACAGCATTCATGGCTGTGCCAGTGGGTTCTTAAGTGAACCTTTGATGCTTTTTCTCTCATATATCCATTTTATATCCACATATAGAATGTGAATGTGAATTCACTGTGAACCACAAGCTCAGGTTCAGACTGATCTAAATGCTCAGTGCTGCAGCGCCTGTTTGAATATTGGATCTGACTGCTATTCATGATCATCTCAGGAACATAGCTCTGCCTGTGAGGACAGAAGTCCACCCACCTCAAAACTTTTGTTTGAACTTGACTTGTTTGCAAATATGATTTATTAACAAGTAAATACAACCAGCTTTCGATACATTAGGGTTTTATGACCAAGTTACTCAATCAGAAATGTTGTTTAGGCCTCCGTCACATCAGCCTAGAGACCAGGTGGTAACCCTCTGGCACACCTGATGACTAGGGGAAAAATACGCATATCCCAACCCACCAGTGGTTGCTGCATGTTCTTGCTGTCACTGAGGGTGCTGCACCAAGGCCCTCCTTGTGGTTTGCTAGCAGATTTCTACTGTTACCTGCAGTTTGCATGAAAGATGCTGACTTGTCTGCAAACACTTGGCATTTAGCGTGATGCCAAAAAGAGATAGAGAATGTTTGCATTGAAAGTAAAAGAGTAACACCTTTTTTGTCGCACTCTTCAGACTTAAAAATACTCTCTGAGCAGACATGTAAGTCTTTATCTTCTATGCAAACTGCAGGCAATATGTTAAAAACCAAAGCAAATCTAAGGAGGCCTTCAGTGCAGAACCGTGTGTCTCTTTGTGACCATTTTCAAACTAGCAATCACCAACCAGTTGGGGAATACACATTGTTCCATAGCGACCGGCTGTAGCCAGATGGTTGCTGACCAGTCTCTAAGTTAGAAAAGTGAAACAGTCAAACAAAAGAAGAAGCAGTTACCAACAGATAGATTTTATAACCAGCGTTAGAAGCCGGTACACGCTCTTTACCTTCTGTGTGGAAACTTTTGGGCTGAAGGGACTGAACATCTCGTCTTCATCGACACTGGACGTACTCAGGTTCTTCATCCTCTCTGCTGCCTCCATCCTCCTCCTCTCGATTTCTTCCTTCATGCGTCTTCTCTCCTCCTGGGAGTCGGATTAAAAACACTCTTCAGCCCCAAAGCCATATAGATCTAACAGCTGCTAATACTAGAGACTAAGTAGCCATTGTTTTACTCTTGAAGCTGAATTAATTACTTTTAGGCAAGGCCGTGATACCTCCATAATAAGCTAAAGATGTCCCTACTGTATATCCCTGATATATTAAGAATTTGGTTATGAATTTTAGACATTTGGCATGCTGCATTCTTCTTCTTCTTTCACATTATACATCCTCACTGATATGATAAACATATGGATAAGACCACAAAGAAGATCTTTGTAACTTTCTTAAAAAAATAAATCTGTGGTTCACAGGCTAGTAGATCTTTTATTACTAGCTCTTAAAATATGAAGAAAAAATATGAAGCTTGCACTACATTTAAACCCCAAATAAAAATGTTTTACTTGAATCTGAGCGTCATTTACCAAATTCCTAACCCCCCTCCTGCAGTTGTGTATATATCTCTGTGCATATAGCATTTCAGATACTGAGCTTTTATTGAGACATGGTCACCTCTTCTTTGGCCAGCCGCTGCAGCTCCTCCTCCTCCCTCCGACGTTCCTCTTCCTGTCGGACCTGCCGTCTATCCTCCCTCCTTCTCTTCAGCTCCTCCAGCTCTTGCTCAGCCTCAGCCTGTCGTTGTCTCAGTTGCTCCATCTCCTGGCTCTCCTTCTCTTGGAGGCTCCGCCGGATCTTCTCCAGACGTTGCTCTGTCTCCAGGATGGCCTCCGACTCCTCTGGTTCAGCAGCTCTGCTACACACAGCACTACTGTATAGGATATAAAATGCTTTGATTTACGCCCTGGCTGTGGAGCTGAAATAAGATCCAAATATTTTTGTCCAAAGTCTTTAAAGTACTTTTGGGATTCTGGAAAATGTAAACTTGATATTTGTAGGTTTTTTTGTGTTGTCTCAAGAAATGATTTACTTCTGCTTTGGCTTTTAAAGTCAGTGTAACAAAAGCTACATATTCAGGTGGGTGGAAAGGCACATAATAAGATAGCAAACAAAACTTGTTACGCACATGGTGGATCTCTTTGTTTTGGTGATAAATGATGTCACTTCCTCATTGGCTGCGTTGCCGTTTGAGTTGCTGTGTTTTGGCTCTTGGTGAAGAAAAACCTTGGATGTGTAGGAGATTTTGACTTCTTTTCTTTTCTCCAGCTGTTAATGAAAGATCGAACAAAATAGATTTTTAAATGCATGTAATAATATATACGCTGAAGTTTGCTCTTCTTTCAAAGTAGGTCTTCAAATCTTTTTGAACACATCAACTCTTTTCTTGAATGAGTTGAGACTCAGACTGTTCTAATATGATTTTAGACCTTATATGAACCGTCTTTACCATCTATCAATAACTTGATATTTGAATAAGTAAAATCCTAGACTAATGTTGAATATTTTTATTTATGACACTTCCACAGAAAACTCAGTTTTCCAGTACGGAAGTCCCACCTCTGGATGTGGCCTCGAGATCAGTTCATCCTTCTTTCTTAGTTCCTCCTCCCTCTCTTTCTCCCTCCTTGCTCTCTCAGCTCGAATCATTTCTTCTTCATGCTCCTTCCTCCTCTCCATCTCCACCCTGTCTCTGTCTTCCTGCTCCTGCCTCTGGAGTTGGAGAGAAGTGATGGAGGCCTTCGTGCTCTTTATGGGCACAGCTTTTTTTATCGTGTCTTCCTCTTCGTACTCGTCTTCATATCCTCCCTGGCTGAGCTCCTGCAGGCGCTGCTGCCTTCGCCTCTCTCTGCGTTGGGTCCAGTCACTGAAGCCTTCGTCCTCCTCTAGAGAATGAGAACTATTTGGCTTCAGGCTGCTGCCATACCTATGGAGAGAAGAGATGGAAAAAGAGTCAAGACAGGCAAGATCATGAGATCCCAAACGTGTTTAGCAAAATTCCAACCCTCGGACATATCCCATTTGCATCCTCAGGCAGTACTCAGGCTTTCAGTGTGATGTGTATTATAATAAAATACAACACAGCGTGAGACAAATTGAGCAATGCTTTGCTTAAACCGTGTTGTTATTATGGATAAAGTGCCCATTAAGTCAGTTAAATCTACCAGATTTGCTACTCTGAGGTCTCTGTTAAAGTCTCTGTTTTTCCATTACTCAGCAGCTAAGTCAACAAACTAGCTGATTAGTTCCCAGCCGGGAACTTGGCTGAAGTTCCTCAGGTTGCTCGATTCCACAATTTATGTCAAACCTCAAAACAGGGAATACAAATTTGATACTTCAATAGCTCAACCCCTGCTTTGTACACCTCTCTATTAAAATTGAAAGAAAATAACGACACAACAAGAATATCTTTAAATTAAATCTGGAGACAACTCCCCTTAAAAAAGAAGAAGAAAAATCAGGTGCAGGATGTCGCCATGGTGGAGAAAATAGTCCCTGTAGATTTCTAGTCTGGAAATAAATCACGTGCAGCCACGTTTCAGCCAAAATGTGACGCAGTCCACTCAAGACAATGCATGCAATTTCACCTCCATCTTAAATGGATACAAAAGTAAACCCTTCACCCAGTTTGAACAGTGAATGCATGGTGGAAAACATCTGCTTTCACGTTCCAATACGTTCATTTTGAAAAACAACAAGTGTACAAATGCAGCATTAATCTTGAAAGTCCTGTTCCTGACGTAAGGAGCAGAGCTCAGTTTCAGTCAATCAAAAGGCATTAAGTGATTTTAGCAACAAGGTCTGTAGTGCTTTGTTGAACACAAGTTTCGACTTGCTACAGGATGGCATTAGTCTGGGAATCCTCTTGACTGGGAAAAAACCCACTGCACCGAATGCATGGAAATCATCCTAGCCCAAAAAATTGCAGGATACAAAGATAACAGTCACTCGTCAGAGGTAATCCATCACATTAAGTGTCCTTCAGTAAAATATTTTGGGAAGCAGTTGGCAGACCACCATATCATGAGAGGACAGATCACCACAAGCAAAAAAGACAACATTTCCTACAAGACCTAAAAATATAATAAGCTGAATGGCCGTAGAGCCACAAACAAATTGCATGCAGATGCCAACTTGACCCTGTTCAATCGCAAACTGATAGCAGGCCGATTTTGCCTTTTTGCCATTTTCTGTCGCTATGCAGACAGAAGCTGATTACGAGTGGTCACAGACGTGGTCCCAGTTTTTTAGGCAACCACTTCAAAAACAACGTGCAAGTTCACTGCAAGTTGTTGCAATAACGTCAGCCGTGCAGCCGTCTTCAATCACTGTTTTCCCTGGTATGACATTAACATTAACCTTAGACCAAAGAACACTAGCTTACTGCAAACACATTGACACATGCGTTATTTTTAGCTCGTTTTGAATTAAAAGGACAGGTTACTGCAATACCATCCTACAATATAATTCAGACCTTAATGCGTCATTGAAAAAAATTCCTGAATAATGCACAAATCCTTATCTTCTCAGGGACACCAACGTAAACAGGACATTTGAACACATTATGAAACACGGGGTTGAGATCATCTCATTCCATAAAAGTCAGATTTTAAAACACAAGTGTGTGCACTTTAATGCTGAAGCTATTCCACATTTCCAGTCTAGAATATCTGTCAGATCTTGCTGCTGCTCACACAAAGGTGCGAGGTCCTCGCTGCCTGCTTCCCTCTGCACACATCGAACAGCCACAGGAGGAAATCAGCATGTAACATGAAATATTTGAACTTCAATTTAGGCGTTAATTATTATGGAGCACCAGTTATGTTTTGTCTAAATGGACTTAGCCCTGAACACTTATTCAACAGTCAGAAGATCTCCCACTCGATCCTGCTGATTAAACTAATAAGTGTGCTTCGTGTCTTTGGGAGCTGGCAGAAAGGAATTCACTCAGCATTCCCCAGATGATTAAGACATTCTGGTCCGTGGGGCCCCAACTGTAGAGTGGGAGCCTCCGCCTGAGCTCTCAGAAACTAATCTGTCCAAACAAACAGCAAAGTTTCTACTTCAGAATAAAGACGTCCAACATGAAGTCATCGAGTCCTGATAGGCAGCACTCGGTCACGCTCGATGACCTCTCCTGATTTACTGCATTTTATGAAAAAATGGTACCGTTCCCTCTGATTGAATGGTAAATGGTAAATGGACTAGTTCTTATATAGCGCTTTTCCACTCTTCTGAGCAGTCAAAGCGCTTTACACAACTTGTGCATTCACCCATTCACACCCATTCGCACAAGCACAACTGACATTCACACACATTCATACTCCGATGAATGCATCGGAGAGCAATTTCGGGTTAGTATCTTGCCCAAGGATATTTGGCATGCAGACTAGGGGAAGCCGGGAATCGAACCACCAACCTTCCGATCAGTAGATGACCTGCTCTACCACCTGAGCTACAGCCACCCTGAAGGTAAGTGCAGTTAACGGCTACTCGAGGCCGGCTCTAAAAGAGAGTCGTCACTCCTCCCGCCTAATCAGTTTTGGACAGCAATGAATTTGTAAGTGCTCAGAATATTTCTTCTCATCGATGTTAACAGAGTGGACAAAATATTATTAGATGATCGACAGAGCTGATGTTTAACTAATAAATATGAATTAAATTGTATTTAATGAATTACAGATTGTATATAAAAGATTGGACCTCCCCAGTGTGACCAAAGCAATTGATTGATGCCATTTATAGCCAAAACCCCCCATAGCTAATGGTTCTGGCCATTAGCTATTAGCTATGTGGCTACACCCCTACTTATCCAAAAGAATCAGAAAAGAAAGCAATTCCTCATACTGATATTAACCTCTTAAGCCCCAAGCCTAACTGATCTCCTGCCTTTTGCCCCCGTATCAGGGGCCGTTGGGGCTTAAGAGGTTAAGGAGGGAAATCATGTGCAGAGCAGGCAGTAAACAGGGCTAATCCTTCTGTAATTTTGGACACTTTAACATGGGAGTCTATGGGGACTGACTTACTCTTGGAGTCTAAAGTGGACGTTAGAGGAACTGCAGCTTCCACAGTGGCTTCATTTTTCTGCCCTGAAGGTCGGTGCCTTGTATCAGTGCACTAAAACATATAGCTAATGTACATCAGTCTGAAAACGTATCTGCAGACTTAGAATTTTCACATCTTTTTGAATAAAAAGAATATATTTGAGTTGTTTCTGATCATTTTTCTTCAGTGGAAACCAATGGGCTTGATACTTAGAGCCACAGAGAGAGGCTAGTGGAATCAGAAATGGAGTCACTGTAGATCCAGTAAATGATAAAAGGCAGCATTTGCTTCAACCAACATTCACAAGCTCAAAATCTGTCAGCGCTTCTGAGCTCACTGATCTCGGGGTGAAACCAGCATTACGTCACCTGCATCTCACAGAACACCTTTCAATTACAAACCACAGCAGTGGAGCTACCTCATACTGACTCACCGCAGCCTGAATCCAGCTGAGCCTGTGACGTGATGAAGGAAAAGGTGTTGAAGATGCAAGCTATAATTAAGAGCCTGAAATTAAAAGTCAGCTGAGAGACCACGAGCTCCGACATGGAGGCTTGGTAGTAAACATTCTTTGGCGGTTGTGTAATGAGAAGGCAGCTGCGTGTTGGTCTTCATGTCAATACGACAGGATGGAAGAGGTTGTTTGTGGCATTTCCCAGTGGAAACATTTGTTTTATGTAACCAGACGTCTGTGAACCCCTGTAAAGCAGCCAGGCAGGCCGGGGGGAGCGTAACCGGGAGCGTAACAGGCTGAACTTTGAGGTTCGTGACTGGGAAACGTGATGACAAAATCTTTTAACTGCATCATCAGGAAATTAAAGAAAAACAAAACATGCAGACACAGTTAGCAGCTTGTTCAGGAAGTCATTGGACATGAGATGAGTGAATGAATAATGTTTGCACTTAGTAGCTTCCTGGCTTCTCATGACTGCATGGAGAAGGAATTCCACCATATTTAGATTCCTCCTACATCCATGATTTAGAGTGAGAACATAGCCAGACTAAGCAAATTCAGGCCTTGAAATGGAATTAGATATCTAGATATCCACTGAAATCTACGGACTCTCAAGCTTCAGACCTTTTTTTTAATTATTTGTTAAAATAAAATCCTGATACCAGGGTTCATCTACGAGTGACTATGGCTAGAACGCCAGTGGTTCCATAACTTTGAATAAAACCTAACAGAGCTTAGTGCAGGGCAGGTCGGAGATGTAATTATACCGTTTCTTGAGCAGGTCTTGAATAATTGTTGAAGCCCAGCACTATATGGGGAGAAGATCACTAACTCATCTGCATAATATTCAGTCAGTCATGTTGTTGAAAGGTTAAAAGCTCAGTTTGCAGCTCCGTGATGAAGACCTATGTGTGTCCTTCACATAACACAGTGAGAAAGTGCTTTAAACCTCCATTTTCTCTGAGGGCCAGCAGGAGGTGACTGCTGAGTGGCAAAAGAAACTGCACAAAAGTTCTATGGGGAACAATGTCCCCTTAGCTTATTGCAGTCTTAAATCATGAATTTTAAGTCTTACCAACGACAACATGATGTAAATTTTGAACTTTACGTCACCCACTAGAGTCAAAAAGGAAAAAATAAAGCAGGGTGTGATTCCGTGCGGGCCTTTGCAAGTATTGAAAGAGTGTGTCTCAGTATCACAGTCAAATCTATCTCATTGCGTCATTGCGTCTGGTTTCAGTGATGACAACATTCAGCTCGAAGCTTCAGAACGAGACTTCACTAAATAGAAAAAAAAAAAAAAAAAAGGGGTGAACACAGACACTACGTCCCTTATATATATGAGCCAGAGCTGCTTATAAGCAAGAAGTCACGTGTTGCAAACTGTTTAAAGAAAGAAAAAATAATCAATTGAGGCACATATTCCAAAACAGCAACTAAAACCCACCAGCATGTTCCAGATGTCCTACTCGGAAAAAGGCTGCTTTTTGTACAAACACCATAACCAGAGATCACATTCTTTATATTTTAAAAGGAAGCGTTTGGGATGTAAAGGGCCTCTGCAATATTTTCTGTACTCACGTGTTCTCCTCTGGCGGCATCTCGCCGTCCAGTGATGACTCTCCGGGTGCTGAGCCGCTGTTCCTCCGGCGTAAAGACTCTCGAGCTCTCCGACGACGCTCCCTCTCCACCTCCTCGGCATCCTCGATGCTCCTCTGGGCCGTCAGCCTGGAAAGAAAGGAGCACTCCATTTCACTAAGAGTGCAGGCAGGTTTGAACACGTTCCATTGCCAACCATGTCATGATCTTTGGGACTTTTGGAATATTTCCTATTATGTTATTCATCCCTAAACAGCACAATTTGGTGCACATGAGCGGGGAGCAAAGACCGAAACAAAAAAAAAAAACGAGTCTACCTTTTCCCCTAACATACAGTCTGAAATGTTTACACCAGTTTTGTACTTCAGTAATCAAAAATACTGCCTGTATTTTTCAGTCTTATTAATGTGTCAGATCAAAAGACGTGAATTTTTCCTGCAGTAACTGAAGTAATTACTGCAGTAACTTTGAGACTTTTTGGGGGAATAATTAGTACTTTTCCATGTGGTATTGCTCCACATGGCGTACTTCTTTCAACAGAGGAGGTTGGGAAACGTCACAATCTTCATCATGTATCACACATGACCCAGATTCCTGACTCGCGGTCGTCTCTTGAGCCTCCTGGGTTTCTGAACAGTGAGTCTCTGAGGCCAGAAGAACATCTGCCGGGCCTCGGATGAGAAACACCGCCGTCTGTTTGCGCGTCAGATAAACACAATCGTGCTACGCTTCATGTCAACATGAGATCACAGTATTTATTACAAACACAGTTGATCTTTATTTATCAGAAGACAGCGAGCCAAACGCGAGCACTCTTTGCAACAACGCTTTGATTTACACCAATGTTGGGGGATTTAAAGACAGCACCTCCCCTCACACGGAAACGGCAACATAAGAAAAAAAGTGCAACGTTTTCTTTGTTTATTTGATGGCCAACAATGAAAAAAACAACCACTAGATATGTTGGTTTCAATTAAAAGAAGCAATTTGCAAATCAGCTTTTAGAGAAAAATGAGCTCACTGGTTATACAGGATAACGAATAACAAAATGAAGCAAAGTAAACAAATTAAAACCTAAAGAAAAGTTCATATAAAGTGAGTGACATGAATCAATGATTTGAAAAAAAAACAAAAGGAACCAAGTGATAAACCATAGAGGTTGAAACACGAGCAGAACGGTGGTCACCTGTGACTTCTGCCCTCGCTACCTCTCCAGGCTCCTACCTGTAGTGTCTGATTAACCATCGTTTAACTATCTGCCTGATTAGTCATTGTTTTTGGCAACAAGTATGGCCATTTCCTCAGTGGCACTTATATTATATTCCATTGTTTTGACATCAGATTTGATAGAACTGTAGATTTTTCTAATTTAGACTGAAGGGCCTAAATAAAGTGTCCTTTTACTCTTGTCCAAGTTTCTAGATAAATAGCTGAAAGCATTTAATTTTTTTGAATTATAAAGTATATTGCTGAGAGTCTTGTGTTTATCCAGCTTCTTTCCCAGAAGAGGCATGTGGAGGACTAACAGTTGCGCGAGCTCAGGTGTCGAGTTACTAAGCTCACATTTGGCTTCTGTGTCACTAATAGATTGCTAACGGCTCCAAGGCTCCATCTGCTCCTCCGCCCTCATCTTTTCTTCAAAACAATGGATTGATGCAGGAGAACCGGCTGCATGATCTCTGATATTTACAGATAAGACTTATTTTGGGCACAGTTTGGTCTAAGCTGCGTTGTCACCTCCTTTGACTCGTCCTTCTTCCTGAGATCTCAGAGATTTAGTCTATATCAACAAAGTGAAGCTGCTCTTTGTTTTCAGCTCCAGTTTACTGGGAATAAACGTCTGTTCAGAATGAAGATCAGCTTTGGGTTCGGTGTTTTCTTTATGTTAATATCCTGCTCCTGCCAACTGAGAAGCTTCAACACTTCAGATTTCCTCTACTCTGGCTTTACTAAAGTCTTTGCAACTGAAATGTGCAAAGTTAGTCATTTAATTTATGTAGGTATTGAAGTAGGAGGATGTTGGTGCAAGCCTCGGGACTTAAATTAAATGCGGAACAGAGCTCATTGGGATGGGTGCAAACTGTAAAGAAACAACAAAATCTGCAGATCTCCTCACCCTCAACGAGGTCACTTGAATAATGTGTTTCCCACTCTCTAAAAAGCATGGTTGGAAACTGGCTGGTTGACCTTTTCACAGATCATTTCCTCAAGGGTGGGTGGACACCAAAAGCATTTAGTACAAGTCCTTCAGATGAATGATCGTGTCTCTGACGTGGCATGTGGTCACACTGATGGCTCAGCTCATAGCTTTGAAGTGTTTTATACTCCACATTGATGTATATTAGTATACATCTTTGTATATTAATACGTCTGTCATCCTGACATCGAATAAGCTGTCCTGACACAATGACCACTGCTACCTGCACATTGAAAGCAAACACTGCTTCCCCTCACTTTCTCCATTTCAACACACAGACTATTAGTTTCTGGGCCACCTCAGCAAAACACCCTGCTGACCCACATCCATCTATGCTCGGGCCTCTCCACCCCTTTCCATTCTTTCATTTCCTTTTGCTGCTCCCTGCCTACAGGAAGGATGAAAAACTGACTGAGGGAGGAAGACATATCAGAGCTGATAAGAGCAGAGTTCATCAGCACGCTGGTTCAGGAGATATGATTCAGCACACACATCTTAGGTACTTTTCAAAGATTCTATGTTTCCTGTGCAATAAAGGGCCAAGTATCACAGATTGGATAGTGGCCTTAAAAAGAGGAGGAGCTAAAACAGCTAATTTTAGATAGAGGACAAACTGACTGGCTGGACCAAGGCCCAGTACAATATGGGCAAGGATTATTTTGAACTGTGAATCATACAAAATGACTTTAGAATTTATTTATTTTTTTTAAAGTGGCTGTAGTCATTATCATGGGAGGAAAGGAGGTTGGGGTGGATGGGTCATGAAAGTAATCAAGACGGCAGAATTAAACTTAATAATATGACTTTCCAACTCCAACAGGTGGAATGTTTCTGAGTAAAACTATCAGCACAGTACCTGCGTGTAATATCTTGTGGCAAGTTTAAACCAAAATGACCTACAAATGCCAAAGAACTATTCAATAATCCTATGTGAGCCCTAAAGTGGAGCACAGTTGGCACATAAAACCTGGCTCTGCTTGATTTGCTGCTGTCAGCAGTTTGGGTGTTGAAAACTGCCGAGCTTTGACCCAGCAGACTGTTTGAGTGAAACTCACCACGCTGTCCTCTCATTACGTTTCCTTTCTGCAGTCAGCACTGTGGGATTCTGTCATGCCTGGCAGCTGCTCAGACTGATTCGGGCTAAATGATTAATCTCCATCAGAGTGTTTCTAAAATACCGGGATTACAGTCAGCTTTACTTCCTCCTTCTCATGATTTGTGTCATCAAAATCAAATCATTTGCAATGTTTAATCTTTGCTGCAGAACAGAGATGTCTGCGCTGGTCCTAAACCTGGCTCACAGCTTGGAGTTGCTCTGTACTCGGTCAGGGTAGTTTTGCTTCTCCAGACAATTAAAACAAGCACAGCGCACTTGTTCTACCTCAGCAGGAATCAAACAGGTTTTTTTCCAGTCTTGTGTTGCTCTTCTGTAAACTGACACCACAGGCATGACTGAGCACGCCGCTTCCCTGAACCTGTCCTCAAATAACGGCCGACAGAGCGCCCTCCAGCCCTTGAGGTCAGTGTGATTGACAGATTACACAAATAAACAAGAGGGAACATATGAAAGCAGGTTCAAGTGAGGAAAGTGGTTACAGTAAACAGAGCAGCAGATGTGCTTCATGAAGGTTTTTATTAAAACATTTATTTCTTCGCTCTTGTGGTGTGTGGCGTGCAATGATATTGGCATTTCCACTTTTTCCTTCCATAATAAATATCTGTGCATCCATTCTTCAGTTTTCTTAACCGCTTATCCAATCTAGGGTAGCGGGGAGGCTGGAGCCGTCCCAGCTTTCACCTTATGTGGTCAATCGATATTTTTGGAAGAAAAATGAAAAAGGAAAAGCAACAATGGCAAATCAGCCATCAGAAAAATGGTCACAAGGTCAGCCAGAGGCAAGACCAAGCAGGCAGCTGTTGGCTACAGCTGCAAGAAATCTAAGTGCATTAGTTACAGCCAGATTTATTTTTTGTATTTCTGCTGTAAAGTTTGGCATTTTAACAGGTAGTCTTTGAAAACGGACTCACTTTTGGAGAAAACCTCAAGTGGCCATTAGAGGAACTGCAGCTGTGTACACTTCACTTTCATTTGGATGAAATTAATCCAATGCAACTCTAACGGGAAGAAACTTAAAATCGTCGCATCCCAAAATGCTGTACTGCTTCTTTAAGAATAAACTGCTTTCTTGTGTTTTGGAGACACAGCCGGTTGCTAGCGGATCTAATAAAAGAAAAAGAAACCCTAAGCTTTGTAATCACCAGCATTTGTAGCAACCAGCAGAAAGAACCAGAAACACGACACACAAAGCCACAAACCAGATAAAAGCTTTGCCACCTGCCAACAGAGTCACTAAACTGCACACTGCCATGCTCTCCCTGTCTGCACTTGTCCAGGCTTTAACTTTATTGTCCGACCATGTTTCACCGGAACAAGAACAAAGGAGGGATTCATATCAGGAGAAGTGAGGTTAATGTATTAAATCCTCCGCTGCTCTTTTGCAAGCACACACTTTGTCATCGCAGGGCTGACTGGCTTCAGTGGCATAATAACATGGTTTGCTCTCAGGCTGAAAGAGTGCCAGGCTTTGTGGGGCAGGCGCGGATGATGGGAAGACGTTTGCAAGATGAGGTCATGGCTGTGTTGAAACAAGTCAGGACAGCGGATCAATTACAACAGAAAAGATTTCCATTTTCCTATTTGAAAAAAAAAAACGTCATGGGAGTCACCAGATGAGCTGTGAAGAAGCAGCCGAGCATCACAGAACCACAGGGTCAAAGTGTTATTCATCTTCACAGAATTTATGAAGAAATATCCCCCATCTGTCCAAACACGGGTTATTTATATTTGAGGCCCCAGATATTTAAATACAGTGGAACCCCGACTTACGAATGCCCCATTTAACGAAAAATTCAAGTTACGAAGGTACTTAAC